TTACTATGACTTTCTCTAAAGCTGGTTCCAGCAAACTTATCCAAAGTATTTTGCGCACTTGTTAATCTGACGGATGCAGCGCACACCGTCGCGTTTTCTATCACCCCATAACAGCAGTCACCATACAGGACGCACAGAGGGTCGCAGTTGCAATGGACCTTAATGCTGAGTTCACGATAACCAAGATTTGCACAGAGCCATCTATAGGGCGTGAGAGATACATCTGACAAAAAAGAGGTTCCACTGCTGTCGGTAGATATTTCCCGTGCCTCCTGCGTCTGATTGGGTGCCTCCTGCATAATTTCCGCGCGTATTGCACCCTCAGTACTGAATGACTCTTGTGTGGGGTCCACGTGCATTTTAACCTCAATAGTAGGAGACTCTTGTGTGACTTCGCCGTGGATTCTACCCTCAGTAGTGGGTGACTCTTGTGTGACATCCACGTGTATTGTACCCTCAGTAGTGGGTGACTCTTGTGTGACATCCACATGCATTCCACCATCAGTAGTGGGTGACTCTTGTGTGACTTCGACGTGCTTCCCAACCTCAGTAAGTGGCGAATCTTGTGTGACGTCCACGTGCATTTCACCCTTAGTAACGGGGGACTCTAGTGTGACGTCCTGGTGCATTACACCCTCAGTAGTGGGCGACTGATGTGTGACGTCTACCTGCATCCCACCCTCAGTAGTGGGCGACTGTTGTGTGATGTCTACCTGCGTCCTACCCTCAGTTGTGGGAGACTGTTGTGTGACGTCAACTTGCATTTCACCCTCAATAGTGGGCGACTCTTGTGTGAGGTCCACGTGCATTCCACCCTCAGTAGTGGGTGACTCTTGTGTGGTTCTCCCTGTCATTTCTTCTTCACGAGAAGATAATTCTCTCTTGATTCTAACCGGCGTCACGTTCATTAAATCCGGTGCCTCTTGGTTAGATCTCCCAGACTTGCCCTCTTCTTGGGAAGGTGAGAACATGACATCTGTCGGCTGATTAATCAACAGCGCGCATAAAGTGAGGTGAATAATCAACATATTTCTAAAACAGTTACTTTCCGTGCAGCAATTGCACTTAGAAGTGGCACACACCAGTGTCCTCTGATCTTTTAAACCTTTCTTGGCAGAGTTCATTTCGCATAATGCTAACCAATGGACGAAGACTTCCATTGATTTATACCGTAACATACATAGTATGATCACGCTACAGCCATAGACGACTACTACCATGGCCCATAGAAGCCTACGCGTGTGTCAGTAAATTGCAACTCTTGTGTGACGTTCATGCGCATTACACCCTCAGTAATAAGGGACTCTTGTGTGACGTCCACGTGCATTTGACCCTCAGTACTTGGCGAATCCTGTGTGACGTTCACGTGCATCCCACCTTCAGTAGTGTGCGACTCCTGTCTATTTCTTGCATGCATTCGACCCACAGTAGCGGGTGAATCTTGTGTGAATTCCACGTGCATTCCACCATCGGTAATGGGGGACTCTTGTGTGGTTCCTGCGTGCATTCCACCCTCAACAGTGGGCGACTCTTGTGTGATGTCCACGTGCATTCCACCCTCAATAGTGTGCGACCTTGGTATGTTATTAAGCCCTATAACAGCGGAATTGACAAGTCCCATCCGCATTGGTCTTTTACTACAGAGTGTTGAGCCCCGACATGACATGTCTGTGTCTGTTTTGCCACTTTCTGAACGAGATACGAGATGCGAGATTGACACGATCCATGTCGCGTTCGTCTCTTACTGTGGATTTTGGAGCTTCAAATGGCTATGTTATTAAACTTGAAATTCACATGGTCATGTGGGATTGACACGGCCCATATCGCATTCGTCTCTTACTGTGGATTTTAAAGCTTCAAATGGCTATGTTATTAAACCCGAAATTCACATGGTCATGTCTTGTTCGTCATTCACTGAGGCCCATAGATGCGAAATTGACCAGACCCGCGCTGCATATGTCTTATACTGTGCATCTTATAAAACACGAAATTGACATAGCCATGCCTATTTAGTAACTTGCTGGCTCCCATAAATGTAAGATTGCCTTGTGCAAAGTTGCATTTGTCTTTTGCTGTGAATTTTATGCTCTTAAATGACAATGTTCTAAGACACGAAGTAGACATGACTCTTGAGATTTTCGCAGTCGTGTCAATTTCGCATCTGTGGAGTTTAGTAAGTGGCGAAACAGACACAGCCATGTCATTTTCGGGGCTCTGTAGTAAAAGACGTATGCAACATGGGACTTGTCAATTCCGCTGCTATAGGGCTTAATAACATACGAAATAGACACGGTGCATGGCGTTTTCGAATGTTGATGGACGTCTGAGAGATTTGTGAAGATTCTTTTGTCTATAGCTACTTACATGTATATCTGTCTGGTCTTACCAGCGAATATTCCGTCTGCTTGCAGTCAGACTTCATCAGGCATATAGACAAAAGAATCTTCACATGTCTATTACAATAACATAGCTAATGAAACTGTTCTACATGTCTGAGAGAAGCACGCGTAGGCTCCTATGGGCCATGGTAGACTACATATGATGACATAAGCCTATGTATAAGGGTAAATTATAAAATTACAAATGAACAATATCTGTACTGAGATGTTATTTTAAAAGACATCGCATAATATAAATAGAAAGAATGTGTTAATTAAGGAGGCGATGCACTTCCAGGTGCAAGACCAATGCTTGTCGTTCGAATCTTTGCATCCTGTTCGAGTTTATTGGAGTGCAAAACTGTTAATTGCAGGCTTGAAAGTGTGAAGTTTCAGAGTCGTTGTGCAGTCTAACAAGTATAATCAGAAACAGAAAGAATAAAGGGCTTGATACGTACTGTTGTTACATGGATCTACAAAAAGCTTTTGGTTTTAATTAATAGGGATATACTCATGTACAAATTATTTAAGACCTACATAAATAGAAAAATGTATCATGATATCAGCGTTAAATTCTCGTTACCTACATATCTATGCAATCTATGTAAGGCTCTGTTCTCACAACTTTTAGATCGATCTATCACCGCGGGGAGTCTCACTAGATTACTGTCAGATAATCCCCCTTAAGTGTCCGTCCCCGCCTACTACAAGCTTTAAGGGGTAATTAACTTTCGTGTCCGCCCGGCTGACAGCTATTTAGCGTGAACCCCCAGGGAGTTAGGTCGATCCAATGTAGGTCGATCTAATCTATGAGAATGGGGTGTAAGTTATCTGATCATTGAGCTAAATAAGTATAAAGAAGGTATCAGTATAAATGAGAGATTGAACCTTACTGGCCTACTTTATGCTGATGATCTGGTAATAATATCTGATAGCACAGAAAAACTAAACAGCCGCCTGGCAGTGGCGGACTGGTTGTGTAACAAATGGAGAATGCTAATTAATTACAAGAAAACAAAATGTTTACAATACAGAGCATAAATGACATAAAATGGGTTGATAAGTATAAGAAACGTCATCAGATTCTGTAATATAGAAATTCATTTTTGAACAAAGCATTGTTGATAAAGAATACATTAAATAAACTCTTCTATGAAAAATTCCAAATTAAATGGAAAAAACACATTTTCAAATTCCCTAAACTCTGAAAATAAATGCCATTTAAAAATTTAAAACTGAAAATCATTTAAACATAGACTTGAACAGGAAAGAAAAATCATTTTACCACGATTTTGGATGGGCAATTTACCTTTACGTGTACAAACTAGACGTTATGTACAAACGCCTATTAATGAGAGAATATGGCAACTATGCAAAAAGGAATTAGAAGATGAGAGTAATTTCTTACTTCGGTGCACTGCTGTTATATAGAGGAAAGCTATAAATTTTATTTTAAAAATTGAGTATCCAAATAAATGATATAAATGAAAATGTCTATAGAAGATTTAATAGAAAAAAATGAGGCAATTAGCAAAATTTATTGTTAAGATTTTTGCAACAGGTGTCTTAAAAGCCCCATGACACGTTCATAACTGTATACTGTAGGTCAGTCACGACAGCGGCAATAATTAGTTTGCTCACAATTGTCGTGAGACTTGTTATTGACGTAGATCTCACACGAATACAGAATTTGATATCATTTTTATTGTTCATACTTGTCATCCAAGTCTACCGGATGAAGAAAAAGTAATTAGATTTGACATGTTTTTGCTGACAGACTCTGCGTGATTTCAATAAGTGATACCAAGCCGTCCGAAAATACAGAATAGACTTGATCAAATTGAAATATGACTGTTTGAAAATGATCCTGAAACAAGTAAATAATAAATTTACCGACGTAATTTAAGAACGTGCACGTAACACAGAAAAGGCGTAGTCACGCCATAAGAATGTAGCGCAAAGCTTCACCAGATGTGACAGGTTTTCTTTATAATCAGTCCGACATGATAAAGGCCCACTACACAAATACATATGCATTGATCCCCCTTTCAAAAAGTAATTCAAATTAACTTTGTTTATTAAAATAAAAATTGTATTTATAAAGACCTCATAACAAAGTGTGTCAGTTTTTTTTTTTTTTTTTTTTTTTTGAAGGTTCTAGCTCCAAGAGTCATTTAAATCTTATAAATTTCTCTATGACATAAGATAAATACACTTGATTGGGAACATGTTAGACATATGCTCTCTCTACTTGCTCTGTAACATGCTCTTCCCCATTCCAAGTTATCTTTTATAATGCACCCTAAGTATTTATACCCATTTTATTAGTGTAATATTATCATAAAAGACGATAAAAGAGGTAAGCAAGAGAAGGAGAGAGTCTGTTTGCTAGGTGGACCGTCACGTAAAGGGAGTTGTAGAGACCCCAGTTTTGCAGTTAAATAAACTGTGTAGCAAAAAAAAACATACCTGCCTGTCTCAGTTGACTTACAGGTATTGGTGAAAATCATATCTATAAGAACAAATCTTAAGTACTTGAATAACCAACAGGCAGGTTATTACAACGGTCAAAAACGGTCATTCTACTCTTATGCAGCCTTTTAAATGTTTTTTTAATTGCAGAATTAATGGCGCCATGTCCCAGCTACAGGTGTTTGCAGAGACATTCAGGTGTCCCCCAGGATCCAACATGAACCCCCCTGATAAGTGTCATGTCTGGTGAAAACAAACAACCCTGGGGAGATCTCTAAGCTAAAATAGTTGACGTCTTATATTTATGGAAGATACAATCATTGCAAAGAGGACTTCTGTTAAAATTTAATTTGAAAGAATAATTAAATGTACATAGATTTCAAGACACCTTATACAAGAACCTACTTTTTCCAAGGAAAAACCCAGCATTTAATTTGAATGCATTGTTGATAAAGCGGTGCATGAATATTTAAGTAGATCATGTAAACACGTGTTCATACGCGTCACGTGAAGTGGGGGATTGCTCTATGAAATTTCACAGCAACATATACCAGGAACAGGGTCTTCGCTTAATGACTTAAAAACGATCGTATAGATATGTGGATAAAAGCAAAATGATTCTACGTGTATAAAGTTAAATACATGTACAAAGATAGTGACAACGTGACACTGGGCAAAATTCAATTTGCCATCAATTTGGCTCTGTCTTTTACCCTGTTACTATTATTCAACTTTATACTTTCCTTTTTTATAGTTAAATTTCATATGAACAAAAATACATATAATCATCTCATTTATTTCAGATTTTGTAAAGAACTGGTTTGCAGCAATGTCAATGTTCGAACCGATGAAATAACATAATTAATTTGATAATTGAGAGATTCGTGACTTGTTTGTGCATCTGAAAAAAGTATGAAGGATCAGATTTATTTTTTATCTTTTTATGGGTTCATAATAACGCCGTATATTTGCATTTCAAAATGAATAAAAATAATACAGATCAACTTTTATGCTTTCACATGTATTGATAATGGAAACCATCAGAGATATCCACGCGTTAAATGTGGGGGGATTTGGAAAGTGCTCACCCACGGGAATTTTTACGTTATTTTCTATTCAATTCTGTATCGTTTTTGTCTTTTGTACAACAGTAATTAAGTAGTTTAAGTGTTTAAAGTAATTTTATTGTTTGTACCTGTAAGTCACTTTTGTGTTGCTTTCTAAGATAATAATCCGGTGCATGTGTTTTCCCCCTGTCACCCTGTTTATGGCATCAATAAATGCTTCTTTTGCGGATGACCACAAACCGATAAGAAGACAAACGCAGGTTTTAAATAATAGGAATTTACTCATGTACAAATTATTTAAGGCCTACATAAACGGAAAAANAGATAATAATCCGGTGCATGTGTTTTCCCCCTGTCACCCTGTTTATGGCATCAATAAATGCTTCTTTTGCGGATGACCACAAACCGATAAGAAGACAAACGCAGGTTTTAAATAATAGGAATTTACTCATGTACAAATTATTTAAGGCCTACATAAACGGGAAAATGTACCATGATATCAGTAGTTTATATTGTAATACAGAAAATGGACGTTATACACAAACGCCTACTAATGAAAGAATATGCCAACTATGCAAAAAAGGAATTAGAAGATGATAGTAATTTCTTACTTCTGTGCACTGCTTATATAGAGGAAAGCTAAAAATGTTTTTTGAAAAATTGAGTATCAAAATAAATGATATTAATGAAAATGTCTATAGAAGATTTAATGGAAAAATTGAGGCAATTAGCAAATTTTTGCCACAGGTGTCTTAAAAGCCCCAAGGACTGGGTGTTCGATGCACATGACACGTTAATAAATGATGGTGATAATGATGTTGGACTTGTAACTCTATATTGTAGGTCAGTCACGACAGCGGCAATAACTAGTTTGCTCACAGTTGTCGCGAGACTTGTTATTGACGTAGATCTCGCTCTAATACAGAATTTGATATCATTTTTATTGTCCATACTTGTCATCCAAGTCTACTACATGAAGAAAAATTAATTAGATTTGACATGTTTTTGCTGACAGACTCTGCGTGACTTCAATAAGTGATACCAAGCCGTCCGAAAATACAGAACAGACTCGATAAAATTGAAATGTGACTGTTTGAATATGATCCTGAAACAAGTAAATAATAAATTTACCGACGTAATTTAAGAGCGTGCACGTAACACATAAAAGGCATAGTCACGCCATGAGAATGTAGCGCAAAGCTTCACCAGATGTGACAGGTTTTCTTTACAATCAGTCCGACATGATTAAACAAAAGTGTTTTGAAGTTATTAAAATGTTTGTAAGTCATTTTTGTTCTGTTTTCTAAGATGTTATTCCGGTGCGTGCATTTTCACCCTGTCATCCTAAGTTTTTGACTTCAAATAAATGCTTCTTATGTGGATGACCACAAGCCGATAAGAAAACAAATGCAGGTATGTTATTACCAGAACTGCGTATGTTTAAAAGAGTAAAAACGATTTGTCAATGCATACAATTTGTACCGCAGACCCGTATAGCCAGCAATTTCGAAAGGTTTTTTTTTCTTAGAAAGTGGACCTTTTACCATGAAACCTTCATGTACCTGGATAAAAAGGGGCTTCTTTCGAACCCCCCAATCCCCCTCACCCCCCCCCCCACCCCATCCCCCCACCCCCGGCTACGGGGCTGTACCGACTTCCTTGAATGTGTTGTCATATTATATTTCAGGTAGCAGTATCCAGATGCATGTAATTTATAATGACCTTCAGTTTATTTTTCTGAAATAATTTGATATTTCATTGCTTTACCAATTAGAAACATTTCTTTCGGTTGTGCTGACTGCCCCCTCTCTCATTCTCCCTTCCATCCCCCTCACTCTCTCCCTCTTCTTCTCCCCCCCCCCCCCCCCCCACCCCCCCCCTCTTCACAAACATTTTCCTNAAGCTCCCCCCCCCCCCCCCCCCCACACACACACACACACACACGACCCCGCTACATTTCTCTCTCCCCTAAAGCCTGGGTCCTTAGCATGCACGGGGCGCGCGGGACACGTGTAAAAGCCCGTCAGGCGTAGCAGTTACTTCTGACGTGCGGAGGCTGTGCCTCTCACGTACTTTCCACGCACTTTCTTCTTGCGCACTCCTTGCAATCACCAACTACTTGATTTCTTCCCTGCGATCTAGCGACTGCCCAGTCAGACGAGAGGAACCTAAAAAACGTATGTCCTGAAAACCGTGCGTGTAGTTGGGACCCAGGCTTTACATCTCTCTCTCGTCGGTTATGGGTTTGGGTCATTCGATAAAGATGGCGTGAGCCTGACCTTTGTTGAAATCATTTTATCACAGGTCTATGAAATAACTAATAAATGATTTTCATGTGTAGCTTTAACACGACAACGCCAGTCCTCTTGTCTGTAACGTATTCGTGTAATAAACGCCTCAACTATATATATAAATATGAGAAATTTTGAACTTTTAAGATATAATCTCTCCCAGGGTAATGCACACTCACATATCTAATGGGAAACGACCTCACATTACAAATAGCCTGAAATCTTTTTCTTCGTATTTCCAAGAAGACCAGAAATTGACGACCATTTACTAGCTAGGTTAGGCTTAATTCCCAATGATAACATCGTGCTATATGTAGATCGATCCAGCGCCGAGGGGATTTAAGTTTAACATTTAAGATTAACATTTAAGATTAACACGCCTTCTTTTGTTTGCAACGTTGTTGTATAATCACCAGCTTTTATGTATTCTGCTCAACGTCAGGATGAGGCGAGCGGTGTCAATTTGTAGATGAATCGAAGTATCAATATAGTTTTAATTAAAATGCACCGCTGGTTCTAATACTGCGTCGATAGAGTTTAGCCAGTACCATGTATTCCCAATAAAGTCATTGTTATATAATCACGGTAAGCATTTTTTTCTGAATTTAAACTGGTCGAAACCTAGACTGGGTTCCCATGCCTAGATCGATCCATCTGGATCGATCTAACTCGCTGGGGAGTCTCACTAAATTGTTGTCAACTTGGCCGGCTTAAATGTCTGTCACGCCTACTAAAGCTGTAAGGGGGTAATTATCTTTACCCTCTAGCTGATTGACAGCAATTTAGTGAGACTCCCCAGGGAGATAGATCGATCCAAATATCTGTGGGAATGGACCCTAAATACGCCTAGTCTTTAATGCCCCACTCCACAAAAATCATTGGAGAAGCTTACAGATGGATTATTTATTTCAACGTAAGCAGAAAATGCAAAAGTTACAACTGTAAATACAATCAATATACAATCAAATTAACCCGTTTTGCCACTTTTTACTCTCGTTAGGCTGAAATATGCCTAGTCTCGATGAAATCCACTGCGAACACTTCGTGGCAAATATCTTGCTGTTCCAATGTTTTTCTACCGAACTGAATTATAACGTAGTTTTCCTCGGGTGAGTACGTGCACCTTGTCAGTGGGAAAAACACAAAACTTGTTCAAATGTTTGGACTACAACACAAATATATTTCTGTTCGTCTAAGTATAGGGTTCTGTACTCAAAGCCCTTGTCTTCTGCCAAAATGACGAAAACCTCCTGGTATCTGTCTCAATCATTCTTTCAAATTCTTTGACATAAATGCCCATGTAAATATATTTTACAAATATTTCGCGGAGAGCCCCCCTCTCTGGGATCCTCATGGACTGCCATGTTTAAATGTTTGCTTTGAACTGAATTGAGGCTCCAGAAGGGGTGAGATGATTTGTACAACACGGTAATCAGGTCCACTCTCTGTAACATATGATTAAGGCACACGCAAATAAACTTCTAAATTCACATGTGTTGATCTCAACATCATTAAGACACATTTAAACTTTTATTCTTCGATTCCGGGGCGCACAATTTATCCTGTGCCGCCCTCAACCCTCTTTATCCTCAATCTCCTGCTAGTAGTCCCTCCGTCCAAATAAAAAAAGGGTTACAACGCACAGGTTTTATAAACGGTAATTGCGTAACTTTGGCGTTCGCAATCACAAATCAGCGGCTCGAGATCACAAACGGCAATTTCGCCTGTAAAGCCTGAAAACAAAACCGAGCAATTTTTTCCGAACCAGTGCTCTCTATATATATTACACTGTAATTGTACTCGAATATTTCTTTTAAAAATACCTGTATCCCTTTTAGATTAACCCATTTAAGACCTATCCTGAAAATTTCATCAGAATAACTGATTGAGTTAGGCGGATGACAAACAAACAGACAAACGGGGGTGAATATGTTAACTCCCTGGCTGAAGTAAGAAAACTTAATGAAATTGCATCGAAGTCAAGCAACGGATGCCCCAATGACCTTGACAGTACCCCTCAAAATGTGAGTCAAGTATTATTATTCTAGGAATATTGAATTCTCGGTAATCTTCTCAGTGTCGCCAGTCATTGCAAAATAGATCAGGTATAAAATAACTGTGTTTATGTGCGAAATGGATTTTAGAAAATATTTTTCGTCAACCATCTCTTTTTTTTTGGGGGGGGGGGGCTCGGTTGTTGAGTAAAAAGTTTTCTTACTTAGGTCCGTTATAAGGCGTATAACAACTCCCGTTTCTCTTATGTTTCCTCATTTAACCTCATCATCGTCGAAATACAGTCCAGATGGCCTTGTGGTCAGAATGTCAGCCTCTGGCGTCATGCCATTCTTTCATAAACGACACCTGTCTTCCCGCTTGGCTCTCAACGCTCGCTCTATACTAGAGGCCAACTACAAATGGTGATATCAATTCCTTGCAAACATTCTCAATGGACAGTGCAGTAGTATATTACAGCAGAAAAAATGTCAATAGTTAGCCAGATAAATATCTGTGAAAAATCAAAATATGGCCCATGAACACAGTACTCAGCACTGAGGGGTTGAAGTATCCCTGGCAAGGGAAGAGATATACTCAATATATATATATATATATATATATATATATATATTAGATATCCGTTTGCTAGCTTTCAGCACCTCATGCCGCATCTGAGTGGTCTCCTTCCTAGGGAGGTGAGAACGTCTACCCCCCGTCTGAACCAGTGCCACAAAATATCCTGGGAAATTGTCATCTTATGTAAATTGCACTGAAACTCACGTGGAGTGCGGTATACAATAATCACTCTACTCCACGTGTTACCTTTTTAATACGTGAGTTGAATTGAGGCAGCAAAGGCGACACGCACAAGGGAAAAACAAGACCTATTGGCGGTAGTAAGACACTAGCAATAGAGAGTATTTTACTTCAAATTTATGTAAATCTCATTTTGAATTTTGGGAATCTTTAACAGTACCAATCATTTATATATATATATATATATATATATATATATTTATATATATATCAAATCCTTTAACATCGGTCATACCAGGATTTTGGTGACAACGACCTAATACGTCTGCATTCCCATTGTTATAAATATCTGTTAAAATTAGAATGCAGCGAAGCCATGTTTTCTTATATCCACCTACTTTCCTATACGTCAAATGCCTGGTCAACAAAATAAATGTAAAATAGGAAATATTGGTGCCTCGTATCTTGTAGTGTCTGCCACATGGCCTTGATAATGCCCCGCACAATTTATGGATATTTAGTTGTCCTTTTGATTCACAGAATTTATGATTCCCAGTAACCAATAATCTTATCAGTGCGTCGGGCTCTTGTGAAAGAGGCAAGTCTCATTTTTCTGAAAAGATAACAAAGAATTCACGGAGTGGCAATGCTTTCCTGATCAGATAAGTTTGAGAAAGTCACGACCTTAACAGTATAAAGTTGGTAGACGGAAACCATTCCACATACTGTGGTTCTCTGCGACTACGGGGTCCACCAAGACGAGGTTCCGCTCTCTAGGCCATCTTGATTTGCTAAGGTAAGATCATTTATTTAATATTATTTAGGAATCAGCCCTGCACATATTCAACAATATTTTTGCTTTGTGTATATGAACCTTAGAACTGTTTAAGTTAAAACTATAAGCGAAAAGAGGCACCAAAGCTGGCAATTATACGGACACCAAACGGCAAAGTACATTGTAACATTATTTTTAAACAATAATAATAATTATTATTAAAATCCATTCCTTAAAATCGCGCTACCTTGCGTCTCAGTACTAGTGCTGTTTACATATGTATATAGTATAAAAACTAAAAGTACACAGATAAATTCAAAACAAATATAACAGTAATTAAAACTAAAACAAATAGGTTCACCAAAATATTCTTTAGTTATTCTTAAGTTAGAAGTTTTTTATTCTTTTTAAAGTAATGTTAAAAGGCATTAAAAGACACATTTGATTTGCTAATAACATAACATAACATTAAAATGCATCACTTTCACAAACCAAACATACTGATTTTCAAAAGGAACATGACTCGTTAAAGCCACTCATCAAATTTTAATTAGAAAAATACACATTTCGGTCGGGCATTAAAAAATCAATGACTTTTGTAAGAATAATCCGATCGTGCTGATTTTCGCAAGGAGCCGCTTTTTAACCAAACAAAGACACTAAAATTTGAAGTGAAACGAAAATACGATTTGACAGTTCGGACGGCGACAACGACAGCAATAACACGGACAGACCGAGTGAACAGAACTAAATGTGTGCATCCTATCAGTCACCTTTAATTGATGGAACAGTAACAAAGGTTAACTATATTTTTAATTAAATGACTATATAAATAAATGTGAAGCCGGAAGAGGAGAGCAAATACCATATGATGACAGTTACCCTAGTTGTCCTTCCCTAAATGTGCACTTTATAACCTTTTAAACATTTAAAACTAAAATTTCAGAGATAAATACAAACAAAAAGGTATTGTTTTAAGTTTGGAAGTAAGATACATGGGTAGTGTGGCCAAAAGATTTTTATCACAGATGCATATTTTCTATAGATCTCAGCTAGACCACCGTGTTACTGATGTGACGGAAAGATTTGGTGATTTTAGATCCACCACTCATATACAAACTAGTGTTCACCTTGAACTGAACAAACTGGTTGCATGTGTATACCCTCTACAAGGGTCACAGATTTTTTTAAATTAATTTCAATCAAATTCTAATTTTAATTTAATTATTTTTATTATAATATTTAAAGATATGTCAGGGGCGAATTCTGTTCACCTTTCCTTTGTGACCAAAGATTTGTGAGATTTTATATAGAATTAATGTCATCATTCAGCTGACCTTTACTATAGAGTAGTAACTTAGAGGGATAATACTAGTGACTGGTTGTTTACCTGATATTCATTCACAAAGATGGTATATACATGTATCCCGGTAGCTGTTGATCTATGATGTCAAGTGGCTGTTTACGTAGACATTTGCGTTCGCACCATGAAAACGCAGGTCAACTCGTAACTTCGGCGTTCGCAATCACAAACCGCGGCTCGAGATCACAAACTGCAATTTCACCTATGAGGCCTGAAAACAAAACCGAGCAATTTTTCCAACCCAGTGCTCTGTCCATTTATTACAGAGTTATTGCACTCGAATATCTCTTTTAGAAATACCTGTACCCCTTTAAGATTAACTCATGTAAGACCTATCCTGAAAATTTGATCAAAATCCAGCCACAACTTTTTGAGTTAGGCGGGTGACAAACAAACGTCACTGTGTTGGTTTCGTCCCTGTACTACAAAAGTTTCCATTTCAGCAGTCAGTTGCTCTTTGTCATACAAGGGTCATTAGATTAGGCTTGTATTCTACGGTAGCTCACCGACTGTTTTAATGCATATTCTACGGGGGCGTCTCGATAGTCCGAAGGTTCATTGGTCCGAAGGTTCATTGGTCCGAAAAGTGGTAACATTTTTATCGATTTTTTTATCAAGGGTTCATTGGTCCGAAGGTTCTATAGTGAACATTCGGACCAATGAACCTTCGGACTATTGAACCTTCGGACTATTGCTACGGCCCCATGAGCACATGCACTTCGAATACGTGACCCTCTTCTTCGGTCTGTTGCACCCAAATCACTCTCATCAGTAGAATTCTACCCTTCTGAGATATTTCGGATCTTTCTTTTCTCCAAATATTTCATTGTTCTGTATTTGTTCGCCATAGCTTAATCTAATTAGTAATTTGAGTGGAATTAAAGGAATAAAATACCATGTACAATATGGGCTACACTTTTAAATATCGGAAATCTGGAGTGGTCATTTACGACACAGCACTATTTTGTTTCTTGAATAAAGACCATAAACGATACCAAAGCTGCAAATATACCTCCTGAAAGCTGGTAAAATGTGACAAATTCATGAAATTCTATGCACAAATAATGTATAATAAAAATACGCTAATAGATAGGTGCTCCATCCGGTATGAAAAGGGTTTACCCAGTGACATTGACTGTTTTGAAAGTACTTATGTTGTTGTCCGCCTTGCCCTCATTTTTAAGGGATTTTCAATCAAAACCAGGACAAATGGACTGGATGGAAGTTTTTGTGTTTTTGTTTTTCTCTATTCTTTTTTTTTTAATCTGAATTGCAGCTAGATTTATTCTGCATGAAGTTTTATCTCATTAAAACCCTCTAAATGCGCTTTTAATAAATGCTTTTCTTTAAGATATCACAAGTCACCATGAAGTTGGCATTTTGTCTTTTGGCTATGATGTTGTTCGTGGTCCTGCTGCCACAGGATGGAGAAGGTGGATGGCGAATTCGAATCCGACTTCGGAGAGTCTGGGAAAGGTAAAACGTGATACATTTTATGACAAAATAAAAAAACAAAGTATTCATTTGCACAGGAAGACTGCTTGACATTTAATTTTGATACAGCTAGCAACCAAAATCTGAATAAACAAGGCGTAGCATTACAAACTAGAAAAGCACTCAGAGAGCGCATACCTCCGCCAAGTCTCCATCCAATGCCGTTTCACCCCTAAATTTTCGATATTTTTGATTATTGATTATTGATTGATTATTGATTACCACCAAAAACTAATCATCTGTTCCTCAGTCCACTTCTGACAGTTCCCGAAATTTTCATCAAAATCGGTCCATAACTTTCTGAGTTATGTTGATGACAGACAGACAGACAGACAAACAGGGGGGAAAACATAACCTCCTTGGCGGAGGTAATTATGAGACAAAAGACTTAAAACGTTCATTTCTTCTTATCTTATCATGCTAATGCCAAAAGTATGCTACTCATTCATTTAAGTCCCAATTTTCACCTGGGTTTAAACCCCAGGAATTTTGGGGGGGGGGAGAATAAATTTATCCGATTTTTACGCCTTTCACCCCAACAGGTAATCATACTTATTTCTTTTAACGAGTGCAAAGTTTATTTTAATTACAAAACGGTTTCAGTTAAATAGTCACCCAGCACAGAATGATGACTTTTCTTAGAATTGCTAAATCTATATAACACTATGCATGGTTCAAACTTTTGCATCTTAAATGGCGGGTGTTCCTTTATTTCTTTTGAGTAGTATATTTGCCCCATGTAGACATATCAACAATTGAGATACATGAATGTTCCAGAACAAAAAGGTTGGTGAAAAGGGTAGAAAGAGTCATCAAGGTTTTCAACGAGGTCAAAGGGGTGATCAAAGCAAACGCGGATGTAAGTATTCATAAGCATGTATGGTTTTATAATAAGCCGTGGGTAGGGATTCTTGGGGAAGTCTTAACAGGAGATATTTGGTTGAATCTTCCAAACTCCTTTCCTTCACAAAATGTCTAAAAATCCGTTTGCTTCCAATGAAAATGACTGCGCTAGAAGTGGGTGTTGGGTACACAATGCTTCCTTTATTCTCGTTTTTCTTGTGGAGCAAAGCAACGTAGAACACGATGATAAATTTGTTTTAATATGTAGGGCACAGGGGTGAGAAATTGCTTGGTTTTGTCTCGTTTAGTAATACATGCACTGGAAAGCAAGCGGGGTAGTAGCTCCAAAGCTTGAGGACACGTAACAGACCCACCCCACCCCCTCCCGAAGATAAAAACGCAATCTGCTGAGCAGCTCACCTAATGCAATGAATCATCAATCTCCATTTGTACGTTTCCGCTGGAGCTATTTATAATAAACCGTTTGTACACTTTAGAAAGTGATATGGGCAAAGTATATATATATATATATATATATATATATATATATATATATATATATATATATATATATTGATAATAGCCTCTTTGGCGTTCTAATTTTCGTAAAAATGTATGTTTCAGGAAAACAAGTTTATGTTGAATGATTTGGATGGCGACGGCAAGATATCACTGCACGACGTGAAGGATCCCGAAGCGATGGAGGAACTCGACACCAACGGTAAAGTAGTTATCCAAAAAAAAACGTCATTATTCACCTCTTTTTTTCTCTCTTTCCTATTTTTTCCTTTATTTATTTTGCTATTTGTCATCTTGTCTTCCTTTTAGATCTATTGCGTTTGTATCAAAATACGTTGCTTTGGTTTTGCAAACTACCTAAATGAACCTCTGCCCAAGAGTGAATCATTATTTACATTAACACGTAAATGATGTTCGTGGTTAAAGTTATGTTTGAAGTACACAAGTTTAAGAAAATTCAACTCCGATTTTCGACAGGTTGGTAGTGTAAGTTTTTGCAATTATTTGACAACTCTGAGAATCAATTTAAATGATCATTCAGCTTCATCTCACATAAATTTTACCTAAAAGGTTCATTAATTTCAATGCGACAGTTGTTTACACTTTATCTGGTAATGATGTAAAAAATCATTTGGAAATTTATTTTTTGTAGAGGATGGATACGTGGACCAGGAGGAGTTGGATAATTTCCAAACTAGGATTAACCTCGTAGCTAGTGAGTTTTTCCTATTTATTATTTTCATTTATTAATTTATTTTGTAAAAGAATTTCAATCGAGCTGAGAGATATTAATAAAAGTCAGTTGGTCTTCTCACATAATAAGTGAGCAATTTCTTGATCCAAGATGAGAGGGAGAACATATTCACTTTTTATTTCCTTATAAAAACATTAGAGGTGCCTTTGAAGCTAGTGGACCACGAACCTCGGATGCGCCATTGTTTCTATTATTTCCCTGATGTGTTACAGACCCTAGACCTTTCTACGCCACCTCACTACGCTCAGAAAACGGGAACAATCCCAGACAAGCCGAATTCCCTTGATTTAGCAAAAAAAAAACATTTTCATCTTCTTCACTTTAATTTCATCACAGTGATTTTCGTGGACTTAGATTTGTAAAATATGAAAACATATGCCTTCACTTATATAAATATACTTCCATTTCAACGATTCCCATTTCAGCTCGGCTCAATCGGGATTTCTTCGACGGGGACGCTGAAAGTGACCAACTGGACAATGAGTTGGCTGGAATGTCCGAGGAAGAGATTGCTGAGCTTCAAGACCTGCTCAACAATAAAGCTTGAAAGGTGATTGTAGACGTAATTAATGTCAAGACAGCGCGCTTTCTTTATCAGAAAAATCAAATGTAACCCTTTTGATTCCTAGCATTAATTGATATGCATAATTGTAGCTACTGTATATACATGTATGCGTCGCTGGCATATAGCAGTTGCTCTGTAAGATGTTGAAGAAAACGTAGTCTGTTCTAATCATGGACTTGATAAAAATGTAGGCCCCAATAATGCACGTAACTAAACGAGTCTAAATCTAAAAAAAAAAAAACAATTAGGTTAAAGTTACATCTAAACTTTGGCCTACGGTATATCTTACTTGAATTACACAGTTAATTTATTTATTTTCAGGGCCAAACACAGCATGCCAAAACACGGGCGAAACCATTTGCAACCAATCAATGAAAAGTAATCCTCCTGATATCGTGTTACCCATTCTAAAGGAAATCCTGAACGTGTACAAGAGAACTGCCTTTACTGGCCGGTACATGAGAACTTTTGTAAAAATTCAAAGTATCAGTTTTTTAATCTATTTGAATACGACATTTTTCCATCACTGTATGTCTTCCGTTTACCTAACTGCCCTTTGTTTTGAATTAAATCATGCTAGTGTTGAAATTTTGTTTGTTTGTTTTCTTTTCTAACAATCCACTTTGCAGTATAGGCCTAAAAGTAGGATAATAAAGTTATATCCAAAAAGCAAAAGTAAAAATATTTGGGCATCGCCGACCATTCATTTATAAAGACAGTAAGAAAGGAAAATTAAGACAGTGGATATGAAAGAAAGTAAAAAAAGAGACCTAGAAAGAAGAAAGAAAGAAAGAAAAGGTTTAGATTAAAAAGAAAGAAAGAAAGGAAAGGAAAGGTTAAGATTGAGAGTTAAAATATGAAAATAAGTGAGAAAAAAAGAAAATTAAAACAATAATGAAAAACAATGAGTAACATGTATACTCGCACAATAGTAATAAATGATACCCAGTACAAAAATGTTCACCTGCTTAGGGCAAAAGTTACGACGATTTTTTTATTCAATCATTCCCTACAATAACAGAGGGAAAATGACGGTTAATATCGAAAGATTTTAAACTCTTACTTGAAAGCTCTTTTTATTGGGATTTGATTTTGCTGAAAAAAAGAGCACTCAGGAACTCAGGATAACCGAGGAAACAAGTCAAAATCTCGACACATGCTACTTTAAACCAAAAAACTCTGTCATGGATCTACATTGTACCTGGTGATGCTCCTCTCTATTAACTGACCATTCACCCTCAAATCACACACAAGTTTGGCAGTTAAAACTGCTGGTAATTACAAGAGATGTCAAGCTGCTGTACATAGAATATTTTTATTTTACTAGGGAAGCAAATCATTTTATTTTCTAACTGACAATATTTATCATGCTGAAAATAATATTTAAAAAACTAGGGAAGCAAATCATTTTATTTAAAGTACAGGCTTAACCATAAAAACTGCAAAGAAGAAATGCATACCACTGGTTTAACATTGCTGAAACATTGCCGAAGGAGTAGGCGTGTGATGTAGTGGCTGACTATAGTGTTCTCTCTTAGCTTTTTTTCTCTCTGCTATTTTGCTTGTTTCTTTTATCTTTTAACTATCCACTTTGCAGTGTAGGCCTACTGGTAGGCAAATTAAGTTACATGTATGAGGTCGTTAAAATCCAAAGCGAAAAATATTTGGGCATCACTTCTGAGACGATAGACATCATACTCGCTTCCTGCAAAGTTGCAGATTTTCTACAGCAGAAGAAAATAAAATAGATGAATTGGAGAATGTGAGATGGTGCTGAGAGCGACAGTAAGAAAGGTTTTATATTTTGTCTATTTTTGTTTGTTTGTTTTTTGTCAGAACAGATAAATTGAGTAATAAGTTTTTCAGTGATTTTAAGTTGCTTGACTGATGTAAGTTAAGTTCCACTTGGACAAACAAACCTTCCGCCCTCTTACTTTTAATATTTTTACATGGTCAACAGACATATATATTGAGAATCAGTGATCGTTGATAAAGAGGTGAATTATGATTTCAATGTGTGCCACTAACACATGAATGAGTGATAAATCAACGCTCTGTATATAGGAATTTGAGACTTAGTTTTGAGGTAAGATTTCACTTTGGAAAATTCCATCTCACACATCTCATCGAAAACGACCTCACATTTCAAATAGCCTGACATTCGTTTCATCGAATTTTTAAGAAGACAAATATAGAGGATATCAAGAAATACTTGGCGACTATGTTAACCATAACTGAGCTAGTTTATGAAATATTGATGATGTCAGGAACATTTATGATGGTACTGACAGTTAACGACGAGAGATGTCAAGGGGTAGATAAAGCATCAATAGCAGGGTACACTGTATAAACGTTATGGACCTTAGGTTGATATCATTAACTTCCATACGCCGAGAACAGCCAAAACCAATCATTCCCAGCAAAGTCATTTTATATAATCACGATAAGCATAAAATTCTCTAAAATAAAACGGGTCTAATCTTCACTTCGGATATTCCCTTATCCTTGGTAGCCCTCCTCACAAATAACTGGGGAAGTTTGCATAGATGTTTTACAGCGTTTGTTAATACACTCAATTAGCAATCAAATGAACTCATTTTGCCACTTTTCACTGTAGTATGCTTAGTTTACACAAACATGCGGAAACTTTCACCAAAAATACTTCGTTGCAAATATATTTCTGTTCCGATGTTTTAACCGAACTGAAATATACATGTAACACAGAGTATTCATTGGCTGAACACGTGCCTTGAATTGAGGCTCCAAAAGGGATAGGATGATATGTACAAACCGGTAAATATGGCCCATTTTCAGTGATAAATGGTTCAACCACTTGCAATTAGGCTTTTAATAGCGATACTTAACAACATATAGACACATTAAAAATCAGTATCGAATCCAGGGCGCACAATTTTTCTGTTCCTCCCTCCCCCTCTTACAGGGATATCTTTAGGAACGTCCTTTCTCGTTCTACATGTGGTACTTCTCCATTCTTAATTTTTTTTTTTTTATCTTTGCGCCATGAAATCAAAGTTAAGCTCGTTAATTCGGCATTCGCGATCACAAGTCTGCAGCTCGAGATCACAAACGGAAATTTCGCCTATTAGGCCAAAAGACAAAACAGAGCAATTTTTTCCAACCCAGTGCTCCACATATAACAGTAAAATTGTTCTCGTTTATTACTTTTAAAAGCCTGTGCCCCTTTTAAGTCAGCCTATTCAAAACATATCCTGAAACATTCATCAAACTTCATCCCTAACTTTTAGAGTTAGGCTGCTGACATACAAAGGACACAAAAACAGAAGAAAAAAAGACAAACGTAGATGAATATCTAAACTCCCTGGCAGGGGTAACAAAACTAAAATAAGCTAAAAGCGCATCGAAGTCGAGCAGCGGATTCCCCCATGGTCTTGGTAAAACTCCTCAGAACGAGAGTCAAAATACAAATACAAAAGTTGTTTTCTTTCTACGAATTTTGAATTCATGGTAATCTTTTATCTTCTCAGTGTCGCCGATGTCTTCAAAATAGATCAGGTATAAAATAGGATGCATGAAATATATGTTATATTGTATCCACTGTTAACTGTCACTAAAATTTATTTCATCCCGGTTGTTAATAGGGTTAAACATCAAGTTTTCTTACATAAGATGGGTCAGTTTTAAGGTGGATACCACCCCCTGCATTTCTCTTCTACTTCCTCACTTAATCTCATCCTCTTCTTTACGTCGACCTGATGGTCTTGTGGTCATAGTGTCCATTTTTTGAGCGGGAGAGTGTGGGTTCGATACCTTACGTATTCCACATGGATTTCATGATCCATGATGACATTTTTTCCATCTAGTACCCAATATTCATAGATTCCATGTAAAAATTCTCACTGGACAGTAGCGAAGCAGTTTAAATTAGAGAATAATTCACAAGTTATATATATCATTAGAATATCTAATGAAAATCTTCTTTTGTACTGGGTAATTTTAAACAGGGTCACTCTCAATTATTTATGATATATCAAATTGTATTACTTCGCTGATACCAGAATTTCGACGACAAAGACCTAATACATTTGCATTCTCACTGCTATAAACATCTGTTAAAAATTAAAACGCAGCGGAGTCACGTTTTCTGATGTCCTCCTACTTTCCCAGTCGTCAATTGCCTGGTCATCAAAATAAATCTAAAATGGAAAATAACACTGGCGCATCGTGTCTACCATATGACCTTGATAATGCCCTACACAGTTTATTCGAAATTCAGTTGTCCGTATTATTAAGAGAATTTATGATTCCCAGTAATCAATAGTCTTATCAGTTTGACCTGCTTCTGTGAAAGAGGCTAGTCCCATTTTTCTGGAAATATAACAAAGGAATCGTCGAGTGGCACTGCTCTCCTGATCAGATAAGTTTGAGAAAGTCACGACTTTTACAGTATAAAGTTGGCGGACGGAAACCATTCCACATACTGTGGTTCTCTGCGACTGTAGGATCCGCCAATACGATTTACCGCTCTCTAGGCCATCTTGATTTGCTAAGGTAAGATCGTTTCTTTAACATTATTTAAAGAATCAATCCTGCATATATTCAACAGTACCGTAGGCCTATTGTTCCGCCTGATTTTAATGTATCTTAGAACGATTTTAAAAAGGCTATTAACTATTCGCGAAAAGAGATAAAAGATCAGGCAGCAAAGCTGACAATTACACGGACACGAAACAGAAAATCACATTGTAATATTATTTACAAATAAATTAATAACACAACATAGCATAACATAAGATAATATAACATAACATAAAATTGCATTACTTTCATAAACCATACGTGTTGATTTTCGGAAGGAACATGCCTCATTAAAATTCAAAGCCACTCAGCAAATTTGAAGCAAAATGAAAAAAAAATACGGTTTGGCACTTATGGGTTACACGTTAAAAATCAGTGACGTTTGTAAGTACAATCCGATCATGCTGATTTTGGCAAGCAACCCTTTTAACCAAACAAAGCCACTCAATATAAGAAAAGCAAAAATATGGTTTGGCGATTACGGGGACTGGTGTTTCGGATGGCGACAGCAATAACACGGACAGACACAGTGATCAAACCACTCAAACACCCACACAGTGTCTGCATATAAAGATGATATTATAGATGCCGTTTTAAAAATAGGAAACAGTTCAAAAGGTGAAGAATTTGTGTTTTCTTATACCAGAAAGACTGGTGTCTTTCATTACAGATTGAACAAATGTCTGCTTAGGCCTTATTCAGTGACATTGATTTTTTTTTTTTTTTTTTTTAATTATGTTGTAATCTCCTTATTCTGATTTTTTAAAGATTTTCAATTAAATCAGCACCAATGGCATAGATGGATTTTTTTTTTTTTTTTTTTTTTGGTACATTTGAATTGCAGCAAAAATTATTTGGTGTGCAATATTATCTTACAAATCGTATCAACTCGAAAAATACACGTTAAGTTAATACTTTTTCAGATATCGAAGATCATCATGAAGTTGGCATTTTGTCTTTTTGCTCTGATATTTTTCGTGGCCCTTATGCCACAGGATGGAAAAAGTTGGCGACTTCGAAGAGTCTGGAGAAGGTAAAACATATTTCAATATACGACAAAACAAAAAAAGTCAAAGCACTTATTTGAGTGCAAGACAAAAATTACTTCTTTTGTTGTTACAGCTAGCCATAAAATCTGAATTTATTTAGCATATCATTTACAAATTATAATAGATAAACAACTTTGGCTAAAACCTACCTTTTTTCATTTTTCGTCACAAATTGATAGATAATCAATTGTTTCTTTATTCGATATATAATCCATTTATTTGTTAATCAAACGATATCAACGGTTGCAATATACAGTGTATGCATGTTTCCAGGGCCGTTAGAGTAGTGAGGACGGTGGTTAGAGTTGTCAAAACTTACAAGGCAATTAAAGCTGCGGTCGCAGTAGCCGGAGATGTAAGTACTCACAGATATTTATGATTGGTTTTGAATTGAGACGGGGTGAAGGGATGGGGGAAGTGGGGGGAAGAGATGTTAATCCTTTCAGACTTACTAGTATACCCCTTGCAGGCGTTTGTTGGATAAAACTGCTTTCTCAAACCGCTACCCTTAAAAAAACTCCATAATTCCGAAATGGAAAACGTTTCCTGCCATAAGAAATGACTGCGCTGTCAAATTTTACTAAGGGAGAAGGGGTGGGTGGGATTGTCGGGTACACAAGGATTTTCTTTGAATTTATTTTTCTTGACAAAGAAAGGCAAATGGAAGATGCAGATAGATTTATGTAACATGTAGTGCACAGGGATGGAAAATTGCTTAGTTTTGTCTCTTGTAATACATGTACTGGAAGGAAGGAGGGATTGTACAAGTAGCTCCAAAGCTTGGAAACACGTAACACCCCCACCCCACCCACCCCCGGCCCTCCCGACGAGAAAAACACACAATCGGCTGTGAAGCTCACCTAATGCATTGCATCAATCTCCATTCGTTCGTCTCCGCTTGCACAATTTATAATAAATCGCTTTTGAAAATGCTATGGACAAAGTGTCACCTTGAGATATTAAAAATCAAATTATTTCTCATTCATTTCTTTCAGTATTTCTCCATTGATATCAGTTACCTTAGCGTTTTAATTTTCCTAATATGTACGTTTCAGGAAAACAACTCCAAGTTTATGTTGAATGATTTGGATGGCGACGGCAAGATATCACTACACGACGTAAAGGATCCCGAGGCGATGGAGGAACTCGACACCAACGGTAAAGTAGTTTTCCAAATTAAAAAGAATTACGTCATTCCCTCCCCTCTTCCTGTCATCTTTGTTGATTTACTAATTTTTTATCGGTTTTATTGTTTTCCTTTCAAATTTCTTACGTATGTTGCCTTGTTTTTAAAAAATTCACCTACATGAACCTCTGTCCAAAAAGTGATCATTATTCTTATAAACACGAAAAAGACGTATGGAGTTTAAGTTAACTTTGCAAAAGTTAGACAATCTCCCATAAAATTGTCCATTAAATGTTTATTTCAAGTTGTTTACACATTATTTGAAAATTATTGTAAAATAATTTGGATAATGTTTTTTTTTCTAGAGGATGGATACGTGGACCAGGAGGAGTTGGATAATTTCCAATCAAAGGTTAACCTCCTTGGGGGTAAGTTTAATGTACTTATCATTTGTGTATTCATTTTGAGATACGTTAATGAGGCGTTAATGAGGAGTCGGTTATTAATTTCCTGATGTGTTACAAAGCTAGCCCTTATCCGCCGTCTACGACAATCCGAGGCCTAGAGATCTTGGGCTTCGTTCACATGCAATGTCTATTTTCTAAAAATCTATTTTCTATTCGCGGTATCTTATGATCACGGTCTGTGCCCTGAATATCCCGCGGCGAAATTACTGGCAGCGCGAGCCAGTTACTTATACAAAGCTGTAATTTATTCTCGGCTGTGCTCGGAGGAGATTCTGATACCTTGACGCATGGAGTAATTACGCCGCGGGATGTTCAGGGCACAGACCGTGATCACAAGATATACCGCGATTAGAAAATAGATTTTTAGAAAATAGACATTGCATGTGAACGAAGCCTTAGAATAGGAAAAAATCATACATTTGCATCTTTTCCACTTAAATTTCATTGGAGTAATGTTCGTGTGTTTCGATGTGTAAAATTAGAAAAATGTCTTTTATTCACATAAATATACTTCCAGTTCAACCAAACATCTCCTAATTTCAGAACGGCTCAATCACGATATCTTTGCGGACACCGGGGACGCTGAAAGTGACCAACTTGACAATGAGTTGGACGGGATGTCCGAGGAGGAGCTTGCTGAGCTTCAAGACCTGCTCAACAATAAAGCTTGAAAGGTGATTATAGACGTAATTAATGTCAAGACATAGCGCTTTCTTTATTAGAAAAATAAAATGTAACCCTTTTGATTCCTTGCATTAATTGATATGCATAATTGTAGCTACTTTATATACATGTATATGTAGCTGGCATATAGCAGTTGCTGTAAGATGTTGATGTAAACGTGGGCAGTTCTAATAATGGACTTAATAAAAAAATGTAGGCCCAAATAATGCTCGTAACTAAACGAGTCTAAATCTAAAAAACCAATTAGGTTAAAGTTACATCTAAACCTTGACCTACTACGGTACATGTTTAATTAATTACACAGTTTATTTATTTTCAGGGCCAAATACAGCATGCCAAAACACGGGCGAATCCTTTAGCAACCAATCATTGAAAAGTATTCCTCCTGATATCGAGTCACTCATTCTTGAAGGAAATCCTGAAAGTGTACAAGAGAACTGCCTTTACTGGCCGGTACATGAGAACTTTTGTAAAAATTCAAAGTGTCAGTTTTTTAATCATTTTGAATACGACATTTTTCCATCACTGTATGTCTTCCGTTTACCTAACTGCCCTTTGTTTTGAATTAAATCATGCTAGTGTTGAATTTTTTGTTTGTTTGTTTTCTTTTCTCACAATCCACTTTGCAGTATAGGCCTAAAAGTAAGACAATAAAGCTATGAAGTCGTTATATCCAAAAAGCGAAAGTAAAATATTTGGGCATAACCGACCATCCATTTATAAAGACAGTAAGAAAGGAAAATTAAGACAGTGGATATGAAAGAAAGTAAAAAAGAGACCTAGAAAGAAAGAAAGAAAAGAAAGAAAATGTTTAGATTGAAAAGAAAGAAAGAAAGAAAGAAAGGAAAGGTTAAGATTAAGGAAATAAGAGTTGAAAATAGAAAATAAGTGAGAAAAAAGAAGATTAAAACAATAATGAAAGACATTGATTAACATGTATGCTCGTACAACTAATAATAAATGATACCCAGTAAAAAAAGTTCACATGCTTAGGGCAAAAATTACGATTTTCAGATTCGATCAGTCTCTATGATAACAGAGGAGATTTGACAATTAATATCGGAATATTTTTAACTTTTTTAAAACTAAAAACTATTTGTCTTTAAATTAGTATTTGATTTTGCTGGAAAAAAAACAAGAGCACTCAGGAATTCAGGATAACCGAGGAAACACGTCAAAATCTCGACACATGCGACTTTAAACCAAAAACTCTGTCATGGATCTACATTGTACCTGGGTGATGCTCCTCTCTATCACCTGACCAATCACCCTCAAATCACACACAAGTTTGGCAGTTAAAACTGCTGGTTAATACATACAAAAGATGTCAAGCTGCTGTACATAAAATATTTTTATTTTCTTACTGACAATATTTATCATGCCATTCAGGCACTTTAAAAAAACTTTGAGGCCATAAGATAAATTGTGATCAATGTCAATATCATGCCGTATACATATTGATGTACATGTATGTCCCTAAAAGATGCAGTGTCTGTCTCACAACAGTACCAGTCTACCAGATTGTGCTGGTGTCTTATACTCTCCGTTGCACTTCTTGCAAATACATACTGATTAAGTTTTTTGAATATGCGGTTCCCCTCATCCTCTCCCCTCTATTCCCATAATGCTGAGTATAGTATGGTACTCTTAAAGCAGAAACCTGTGCCTCGTGTGATTGGCGGAGTGACATTCCCGGAAGGTTGGGTCTCCAGTGCAATCAGACTTGATGTAGAGGCAATTGATTGACCTGGCAGTGAAAGACCTTGGAACGAAATTTCTTTACTTTGCCTCTTGCCACACTTGTTAAACTGAAATGAATCATAAAAAAGCAATTAAAGTGAGAAAAAAATTCAGTCATATTTTACATAACAAGAGATGTCTTTGTCATGTCCTACATGTATTTGTTAAAACTTTTATTTTAATTTTTTTAGATTCTCTAAAAGCAAATTCTGTACAAAAATATCCTCCCAGCAGCAAAACTGAAATTAAAAGAAAAACAATACAAGCCAAGCAGTTTAAATGTAAATTTTTATGCTGTATTACTATTTGATAATACTGAAAACAATATCTAACTAGGGAAGCAAATCATTTTATTTAAAGTACAGGCTTATCCATAAAAACAGCAAAGAAGAAATGCATACCACTGGTTTAACATTGCTGAAACATTGCCGAAGGAGTCGGCGTGTGATAGCTATTGACTGTAGTGTTCTCTCTTAGCTTTTTTTCTCTCTACTATTTTGCTTGTTTCTTTAATCTTTTTAACTATCCACTTTTCAGTGTAGGCCTACTGGAAGGCAATTTAAGTAACATGTATGAAGTCGTTAAAATCCAAAGAGAAAAATATTTGGGCATCACTCCTGAGACGATAGACATCATACTCGCTTCCTGCAAAGTTGCAAATTTTCTACTGCAGAAGAAAATAAAATAAATGGATTGGAGAATGTGAGATGGTGCTGAGAGCGACAGTATCAAAGATTTCAAATTTTGTCCATTTTTGTTTGTTTGTTTTTTGACAAAACAGATAAATTTAGTAATAAGTTTTTCAGTGATTTTAAGTTGCTAGACTGATGTAAGCTAAGTTCCACTTGGACAAACAAACCTTCCGCCCTCTTTTAATAGTTTATATGGTCAATAGACATATATATTGAGAATCAGTGACCGTTGATAAAGAGGTGAATTGTGATTTCAGTGTGTACCACTAACACAAGGATGAGTGATAAATCAACGCTCTGTATATAGGAATTTGAGACTTAGTTTTGAGATACAATTTCACTCAGGGAAATTCCGTCTCACATATCTCATCGAAAACGACCTCACATTTCAAATGACATCCGTTTCATCGAATTTTTAAGGAGACAAGTATAGAGGATATCGACGAATACTTAGCGTCTATGTTAACCATAACTGAGCTAGTTTATGAAATATTGATGATGTCAGGAACATTTATGATGGTACTGACAGTTAACGACGAGAGATGTCAAAGGGTAGATGAAGCATCAATAGCACGGTACACTGTATAAACGTTACGGACCTTAGGTTAATATCATTAACTTCCATACGCCGAGAACAGCCAAAACCAATCATTCCCAGCAAAGTCATTTTATATAATCACGATAAGCATAAAATTCTCTAAAATAAAACGGGTCTAATCTTCATTTCGGATATTCCCTTAGCCTTGGTCGCCCTCCTCACAAATAACTGGGGAAGTTTGCATAGATGTTTTTCAGCGTTTGTTAATACACTCAATTAGCAATCAGATGAACTCATTTTGCCACTTTTCACTCGCGTTAGTGACTGTAGTATGCATAGTTTACACGAACATGCGGAAACTTTCAGCAAAAATACTTCGTTGCAAATATTTTTCTGCTCCGATGTTTTAACCGAACTGAAATATACACGTTGCACAGAGTATTCATTGGATGAACACGTGATTTGAATTGAGGCTCCAAAAGGGACAGGATGATTTGTACAAAACGGTAAATATGGCCCACTTTCAGTGATATATGATTAAAGCACTTGCAATTGGGCTTTTTAAAGTGATTCTTAACATCATCTAGACACATTTAAAATCAGTAGCGAATCCAGGACGCACAATTTTCTGTGCCCCCCCCCCCCCAACCCTCTTTCAGGGGTATCTTTGGGGACACCCTTTCTCGTGGTAGTAATTATCCATTCTAATAAAAAAAAATTTGTACCATGAAATCAAAGTTTAACTCGTTAATTCGGCGTTCGCGATCACAAATCCGTAGCTAAAGATTGCAAACGGGAAATTCGCCAATAACAGGCCTATCCACATACCAAAGTAAACTAAAAGCACATCGAAGTCGAGCAGCGGATTCCCCCATGGCCTTGGTAATGCCCCTCACAAGGTGAGACAAAATACAAATGTAAAAGTTGTTTTTATTCTACGAATATTGAATTCACGGTAATCTTTTATCTTCTCATAGTCGCCGATGTCTTCAAAATAGATCAGGTATGAAATAAACGTATCTATGCATGAAATTTATGATACACTATTCACTGTTAACTGCCACTAAATCTTATTTTATCTCGGTTGTTGGGGTAAAAAATTAGTTTTCTTACATAAGATGGGTCAATTTTAAGGCCGATACCCCCTGCATTTCTCCTCTGAGTCTTCATTTAATCTCTTCTTTACACCGACCTGATGGTCTTGTGGTCAGTGTGACATTTTACGGTGCAGGGAAGGGAAGGGGGCGTGGGTTGGACGCCGTACCAGTCCTTCACAAATCACAAATCCGAAGCTCGAGATCACAAACGGAAATTTCGCCTATAAGACCTGAAACAAAGCAATTTTTTTAACCCAGTGAGTCTACATATATAACCTCATAACATATAGCCTTTCAAAAAAGGGACTTTGCTGCACCCATTACCAACAAGTGTACTGGCTGTTGAGTAGGTAAAGCCTCTTGGGCTAACTTTTAGAGTTAAGCGGGTAACAAACAAAATAAAACAAAAACAGAAGAAATACAATGGAATAACGGAGGCGAATACCTAAAGTCCCTGGCGGGGCATGGACAAAATTACGTTATTATGTCCAAGGGCGGGGGTAACCTAACTAAACTAAACTAAAAGCGCATCGAAGTCGGGCAGCGGATCCCCCCATGGCCTTGATAATACTCCCCACAAGGTGAGAGAAAAAAAAAAAGTTGTTTTTATTCTAGGAATATTGAATTCACGGTAATCTTTTATATTCTCAGTGTCACCGATGTCTTCAAAATAGATCAGGTATAAATAAAAGTATTTTTGTATGAAATATATGTGATATAATATTCACCGTCAACTGTCACTAAAACCTTTTTGTCTCGGTTGTTGGGGTAAAAAAAATAGTGCACTTACATAAGAGGGGTCAATTTTAAGGTGGATACCACCCCCTGCATTTCTCTTCTGCTGCCTCACTTAATCCCATCCACTTTTTAACACCGACCTGGTGGTCTTGTGGTCAGACTGGCAGTTTACGGTGCTGGGG